TAACGAGCTGTAACCACTACACCATGTTCCACATGACATCTTAAGTAATAGCAGCGGAAATGCGGCACAAGAATTTAAAATATTATTTACTAATGATGAAGAGGTATCTAATAGCCGAAATTGAAGCGTATTTTCAAACTAAGAAATCGTACTATAAAAATGTTATCGAAGAATTGTATGACCGCTATAATCGTTGTATGGCTCTCGAAGACAAATCAAATTCTCTAAAAAAAATATTTGTTCTATGTTAGCTTACCAACTATTCAGCCCACCTGTTATATATAATAATAACTAGTTTACCATTTTCGTGTGAAATATAGTGTTTTGTAATTGGGTTAATTTACCATAAGTGTACAAGGAAGCGTGTACCGATCGAGATTGCATTACGCGTTGCGCAAGCGGCTCTCCTGTGACATCGTACACTGTAGACGAACAATGGATTCGTCTGCATTGTAACATAATATGATTGTATCTTTAAAAGCGTGCATTTTACTTCCGGAAACAATTAGAATGGAACTTTGCTAATTGATGTTTGTTAAGTGATTAAAAAATTTGTAAAGTTGATTTTTTTTAATAGAACGAGTTCCTCGAATTATAGGTAATAACAAAACAATAACAGACGCACATTTGGTTTGAATTAAAATTCGAAATTTAAGAATTTGTCATTACTTAACAAAAGTTAAACGCGTTCAACCATCGCTTATGAAGGTATAGGTAAGTATCAATCTCTCTTAAAGAGGTTCACGCGTAACAAAGACTGTCACTTATACAGGTTTTATATTTCTCACTCATAGAGGTTTTAGGAGGGCAAAATGGGAGAATCTCGCTTAGCCAGTTCTCACTTATCCAGGTGTGACTGTATATATACCTGTGGCGCTACAACCTTTTTAGGTCTGGGCCCCAAATTTCTGTATCTGTTTCATGATCATTTGTTAATCTCATAGGCAAATAGGTGACCTGTGTCTAACGCACAACACTTTTTTTTGGCAAGCCAGTTTCCTCACGATATTTTCCTTCACCGTTCGAGGGAAAATGTGCACATAAAAAGAAAGTCCATTGTCATTTTTCCAAGCCACTAGGCCAACACTGATCATCATAATAGCATACATTTCAGATAAATCTGGAACTGTGATTGTAATTACATATTTAAAAAAATTAATAAGCATTTCATTTATTTATAATTTTGTTAGATTTATTATTCTTACTAGAAAAACTATTAGTCTACTCTAGACTTAATATAAATCCGCAACGCAACCTTGTCCTGAAATAAACCTTTCGAATATCTGATTCCAATTTGTGGTATGACTTCTTATATAACATTATGTCAAGGAATTCTATTTGTCTTATGCCATTAAATTTTTGCTATAAATAAAACTATTAACGTACCTTCTGTTGTAAATATGTTTTTTATAGAATAGGGCGGGCGTACACGGCAAGAGGTGCACCTGATGTTGTGTTATGCCGCCGGACACTCACACTTGCAGAAGTCTTGCGAGTGCGTTGCCGACCTCCGATTATTTAAGTTTACTGGTAAATTGTAATTGTTTGTTGTATAAAAATTCGGAGCAGACGCCATCACAATAGGGGTTGTTGCCGGATTTTTAAGAAGTCTCAGAAGTGAGAGAGTTTCTTTGTATATTATATACACTAAGTACATATATGTTTGAATATGGTAGGAGTTATTAAAGATTTCACGCAGGGTCGTTAATTAGTTACTTTTTACTACAGAATAGTATGGCGACGCCAATTATGTAAATATTGCACAAAATTGACATCAATACACAACATGCATTTTCCTTATTTCAAATTTCTTCGAAAGACCTTATTTTTTAACGATCACAAAGGTTAGTTATTATTATTAAGTCATACTTCATAAAACTAACGAAACGTCTAACAATCGTAATTAAATTCTACTTTAGTTTAGCCAATACATTATAAAAATCGACAAAAAGGTATTAATTGCCCATAAAAATTACCATAATTAAGAAGACGATACGGAAACGGAAAACACATGGCCATTCATTATATAATATAACCTTCATAAAACTATCAACGTTTACTTATTCAAATATACAAAAAGACATAAACAAATCTAAGACGCATTAGTACCTACTTAAAGCAAAGCAACCAAAAAAATCGCGGTCATCCAAAGTTCATCTCTTTAAGTGAGATTTCGAGGGGCACAATAGAAATAAAATGGCTTTCCAACAAATAATAAGAGCAACAACCGAATGATATATCAGTATGATTTGGGTAGGCCATAATATGGCCGTACTTACAACGCTGGTTCTGCACTTGTCTTAAGTCTCATCGTCATGTAGTAAATTAATTCCCAAACATAAAGAAGTATACTAAATATAAAGAAGATACACAAAGTGAATATATTAGACAAAATACTAAACCAACCTATACCCTCACAAGCTTTAAAACTAAAATTGCACTGACAACAGATGAAAAGACAACACAACGAAAGGGACCAGTAGAAAAAAGGAGTGGGCAGGTCAAAAAGAAGGTGGGCTGATAGAAGGGAAAGACTGGCAGTCTATTGGCAAAGATAGAGGTACATATTTGGAAAGGGTTGGAGGAGGCCTTCAGCCAAGAGGGGCCCATATCCACATAACATATTACTAATAATATTTAGCAATAAGTAAAGGCTATCAAAATTTGAAATCTAACTTAAGGATAGGGAAAAAAGGCTTTATTATTATAGTAACTTTCCCAAATAACAGGGAGTCAGCGTGAGATTTAAAATGTAAAATTCTGTACGTTCTTGCGAAAGTGAAAAATTGCCCAGTCATCGTTACAATCATTAAAAATCTTATGCAAGATTCATTAAATGTAGGAGTAGTGGGGCGAACTTCAACATACAGCTTTAAGGACTTTTTATTTTTACATTGAGACTATTTTATTATACTTATGTATACATGACTTTAACTAACTTTTTTCACCCTCGAATCAAAGGGGTTTGTCTAAAAAGTGTTTTCTGGGAGATCGTAGCTTCCTAACAAAATAATAAACTGAAATAATTTATTTATTACTTCGATTAAACTATGACTTGATGACGGTTTAATATATAATATATATATTAGGTCGAAGAATTTATTTGATTTTTATTTTTAATCTAGTAAAATACTGTAATTATTTAACATATACAGGTTTACCAACACATTGAATTTGATAACAACAGCAATAAACGAGATAATGTTTAAGTACGTGTGGTAAAAAAACCCAAGAATTGCTTTAAAAACAAGATTTTGCAATCCGTGTCGAATCACCCGCGTCCGAGTTAAATATTAGAAAGTGAACTTTTTAACACAAATACATAATATTTAGCACGTCAAACTTATTGTGATTTTGAAAGTATTTGAATTCATGGCACATATAATAATTACAGGAATTAATAAGATTGCTGTTGCCACAAGGCGTAACAATAGGATGGGTGGCAGGGCTGGCAAAATGCCACAGGCCCCCGACCCAAGAGGGCCACTGCCCATGAGATATTATGTTCTATGGATGAATGTGAAGTCTCCAATACGCATTGGGCTAGCGTGGGGACTACAGAACATTCCCTCTCGCCTAAGAGAGTGGCCATTAGTGGAACATATACAATGTGTATTTGATTACTCTAAAAATATCAAAGTTTATTAAAATTAGAGAACAACGTGAAGATTTTTATATAATACAAAATACTAAAAGTAACATAGGTTTTGGTGATGATAATTAATGATTATTCTAATATCCTTGCAATCGCTTCAACTGTAAAATAAAATTGTTTTATTCAGTTTAAGAAATTACTAATGTGTAAGATATAGAGCCTTCTGTAATTTTTACGGCAACTTGTATTATATAGGTGATGGAAATATTTGCTTGGTTAAATTTTCTTCGATTTACTCGATATAAATTTATTTCTATATGTACTAATTTTTACTTGACGCCGACTAGATCTAACAATAAATTTTGCAAAATGTAAATATGTACCTACTATTTTAAGTATTTTGAGTTTACATCTTTAATAATTTATATTCTTAAAGTAACACGTCACGTGGTTGACAGAACGCCAGAATTAATCTACGAAAAACGTTTTTAAAGGATGCTTAAAGAAATACTGTTTTAAACTTTATCAAATTAATAGCATTTTTTGTTTTCTTATTCATAATCCTGTGGCTCTTAATAGTATCCGTTTATTTATAGTCAAGCAGGTGATCTGAGCATCCTATGCCTGACGCATGTGATCGATTTGCAGGTATCAGACATGTCGGTTTCCTCACTATGTTTGTTTTTATTGTAGGAGCAACTATTACTGGCGCACATAGAAAGAGAAATGATTTGGTGCTCAGTAGTGATTCAAACGCACGACCTTAGACCTTAGTTCTTCCTTTGGCTTCATAGTACAAGAATTAAAATCGTAAAAAATTTATCTACAGTTTGCTTTATTTTTTAATACATCTGGCAAGTTTCGACTACTTAGTTTAAGATCAAAAACTTATTGGTTTTGCCACACAGGGGTCATACTTAACGTTCAGTCTTGTCTATTAATCATTATAAAAGACTTTAGGCCTGGCCCACCATTTCACAGTTGCAATTATTATTTTATTGTTATTTTTTCACCAGCTGAATTGAAGAAAGGACCAAAAAATTATAAGGTAATAGAATATTTATAGCTTTACTTGATAGTTGACAGTTGCACTATGAAATTGACATTTGACAGTTAAATTTTAAAACTCAGCGCGCGCTGTTTGCGTTTGCGCGAAGTTCTAAATAATAAATATTGCATATTCCAATTTGCAAATTCCAAACACACCAGACGAGAAATTATATTAATGATTTGTTGTTCCATAATCAGTGTTAAATTAAGATTGTTATTCATTAATCTACATTATTGCCTTCTCTTTTATTAATCATAACCACATTTTACCAACTTTAATGTAAACCATTTGCCTGATCATTGCTTCTTAGTGATAAAGATACAAGTAATTTATTCCCTTGTATATTAATTATAAATGGCTAAACAAGTAGCAGAAGTGGAAATCCACGCGATTGATTCGCTTAAGAATGATGCTGACGATCTAGACATAAGCGTTGATTTAATCGATGATGGACTTTTTTTGGGTACCGTATAAATAATCATTCATATAACTCATCATTAATCTGACTATCCTTAGATATTATCGTTACACGAATCTCCATCTCGTAATGCCAATTTGATACAATTGTTCATCTGAGATGTGTTGGCTTAAATAGATATTAACGATAATTGTTGAACTGTAAAATTCCAGGTAACCTAGCATGTGCCAGAGACCACAAGACACTTGAGAAGCTGAAGATAACACACATTCTTACATTGGACCTTGTTCCGCTTCCCCGAACAGTACTTGACCGTCACACCTTTACATTCAAGTTTGTGAAGTGTAAGTACATAAATGTAACATAATATGTAATAATAAAACACATAAAATCAAGTCACTCAAGTCTCGATGATCTCCCACAAGCCATACAATCTACTAATTATGAGCTGGCAAAGATAGTTGACTGGAGTAAAAACTTTGGTCTACTAATCAATCCCAACAAGAGTAAAGTAATAATTATTGGCAGCCCTTATTTCACGTCGAGAATTGATTGGGCCAGAGTACCCTCTGTACATATCGACGGTGTGACTTTAAATATTAGCCGTACAGTAAAAAATTTGGGGGTTTTAATTGATCAAAATTTATCCTGGGAGCAGCATGTTAAAGAAGTTAGCCGCAAATTGTACGGTGCATCCAGTATCCTTCGACGTCTTAGTAATTTTCCTCCCTTTAGTACTAAAACCTCACTGGCTAAATCTCTCCTCCTGCCATTACTGGACTACGCCGATTCTTGCTCTTCCGATCTAAATGAGGAGTTGCTAAATAAACTGGATCGTCTCCAAAATTTCTGTATCCGATTTATATTCGGTCTAAGAAAGGTACGATCATATCTCTGAGTTCCGTAAGCGGCTAGGCTGGTTACCCATTCGTCAGCGACGTGATGCTCATGTTCTCCATCTCTTATATTCCATCCTGTTCAACCCTAAAACTCCTTCCTATCTCAAAAATGATTTCAAATTTTTGGGATCCCATAACTATAGCCTACGCTCTTCCGAAAATTATATCCTTGAAATTCCATGTCATAACTCCTCCTTTCTTGGCGATTCCTTTAAGGTCTCTGCAGTTAAGCTATGGAATTCACTTCCAGTCCCTATTCGCTTAGCTCCTTCTCTATCTTCCTTTAAATTTCTTCTTTACAAACATTACCTGTCCACATCGTATCCCTAACTTTAATAATAGGTACCTACCAACTGTCGTGAGACTGATCTTAATTTAAGAAATTAAAAATGATTCATGTGCACTTTTTTTATTATTATTATTTTTTTTTTTCATGTATTCTTTATTAGTTTAGTTTGTTTTTTGTTCCTTGTTTCCAACTAAATGTAATACATGTATTTTTGCACTTCTTGCCTATCTTATGTAATTTAATACTTTTTGTTTTCTCACAGTGGTTGCCTGGAAGAGATCGCTTGAAAGCGATAAGGCCGCCAGTTGCTCTCCTTTTTATTTATTTAATTATGTCAATTGTACTATATTAATGTATATACAACGAAGTGTTAATAAATAAAAAAATAAATAAATAAAAATAAAAGAAAATATGTATATGCAAGAAATTTTTTGCAATCATAATATTTAAACAACTAAAATTTATGTTGAAAAAGATCTTCACTTAGTGGATAAGTAAATCCTGTTAAATGAATAAACTTTTTCAGTGGCTGATATACCAAAAGAAGATTTGATTACTCAGCTACCAACCTGCAATGAGTTTATCAAAGAGGCTATTACAAATGGAGGGACTGTGCTTGTACATTGGTTTGTATTTGGCATTAATTTTAAAGCGTTTTATGTACATTCTATTAATACACTTTAACATGTGTGATACTTAATATATTATATTATGTTTAAATGTAAAGAGTATTTTAATTTCCTAAATGACATGTATCAACTCAATATCAATTAAATTAAGATATTTTGAAAATGTAATACTTCATGCATGATTGAAAAACAAACAATCTGTATGTAGACTGTACGACACTTCGTACACAATAATTTATTGTTATTTTTTCTTTAGAAGGCCTCTCTGTTTTTGTTATTCTTGTGTTTTTAATTTTTAATTTTGTATTTTGAGCTCAAATAAACAGTCTAAACATACAGACTGCACTATATTTCATTAAATATGCTGTTGCTTTGGTTTTTGCTTTCCTTACGAAAATATATATTATATTTGTAATATGCATCTCATTGTTCTTCAATTCCCAGCTACTTTGGTGTATCAAGATCAGCAGCCATTGTTATTGGGTACATTATGGAGAAATATTCTCTTTGCTATGAAGATGCTTTTGTCCTTGTGAAAAGCAAGCGGAGGTTCATCGGACCAAATGTTGGGTTTGTGGCTCAACTGAAGTTATTTGGACATATGGGATATCAGTTAAACAGGGATGATCCAAGGTTTAAGCAGTTCAGATTGAAAATGGCAGGACAGAAATTAAAACAAGGTATCAAATAATAATTATCTTATATGGAAATCTTTAAAAAAAAAGTATTAAACAGTACAATGTTTTAAGTTTTCAATTACTTATAAAAATAAAATAAATAAATCAGTGCCACTACAACCTTTTTAGGTCTGGACCTCAGATTTCTGTATCTGTTTCATGATCATTTGTAAATCTAATAGGTGAGTAGGTGATCACCCTCCTGTGCCTGACACACGCCGTCTATGTTTTGGGTCTAAGGCAAAAAGCATTCCTCATGATGTTTTCCTTCTATGTTTGAGCATTACTTATAGTAAATTTAAAAGTATGGCATAAGGATAAGGTATAAGGAATGAAATGTTGTAAACATTTTAATACAGTGATTTAATAATACCATGGCATATCATGTGGATTTGCGTGGTTTGAGTCCTGGAAAATCACAAACGGTTTGTGTTGAGACAATGTGAGGGCTACTTGGTCTAAAAAAAACCTATCTATATATAAATAGATGCATAAAACTGCTATTCTATTAAAGGCGTACTTTACCAAACACCGTATATTTGTTTTATTTCAAACCCTTATTTTATTTCTAGTAAAAATCCTGCCGCAGCTATTCGCGGATTTGGTGAAGCCGGATCCAGGTCTTGTAAGGGAGCGGCCGGATCCCATTGTGTACAGGTGTAAAAAATGTCGCCGAATAGTGGCCGGACAAAGCAATATTATACCGCACATACCCAAACAGGTATTTATATTGTATGGCAAATATCACAAAAAATTAAATATAACATTATGATGTCCAAGTAAACTGTTAAAGTCTGCTAAACTTTCAAATGTATCTGTATTGTAAAATACTCCATTGACAGAAATAACAAACATTTTAAGTGCATGATGTAAAGTAATGTTGCATAGTGGTCACAGTTTTTTAAGAAGAAAAATTTGGTGCCAAATCTACTCTGAATATATTTTATACTTGGTCAGGCTAATGTCTTACAACTAAAGGCGGAAACACAATTACGTGTCGTGGTGTGTCGTGATTCTTAAGGTGGAAACATACTACTAAAACGCCACGCGACGCAACGTGTCGACACCCGATGTCCATCGTGCACATTACCAACACGCGACACCACGACACACTTGCAAATTCAGAAGTCATTTAGCTGACAATTGACATTTGTGCCAAAAACTCGAACGTTTGACGCTTGGCGTCAACAACACGATAACACGCCGATCCAAATCGATTGGATGTTACCGCGTGTGATCACATGGCGTGTTGTCTATGTGCATCTGACCATATTAAATATATTGGATTGATAAGTACTGACATGCGTCGGATGGCGTGGTGTAGCGTCGCGTTTTGGTAGTATGTTTCCGCCTTTACTGTCGTGACGGTGAGTGTGCACACTGACGTGTCGTGTCGTGGCGTACTCTGGCGTTATTTCTGAACAGTACTTAACGAACCTTTGCAGCGTTCAAATATACATAATGTTTTCTTCTGATTCGGATAGTGATTTTGATGAAGAGCTTAAATTTCTCTTAGCAATGAAACTTCTTAAGAGCAAAAAAAAGAAAAGATACTGGGTTCACCCTATAGACAGAGGGAGACAAGACAAAGGTGAATTTCATCGTCTTGTTAAAGAATTAGAGAGTGAGGAAGAGAAATTTCATCAGTACTTTACAATGAACAAAGCACAATATGAGCAAATATAATAAATTAAAAAGTGCCCGCTAGATGTTCGCGCCACGAGCCACGCGCGGGTATAGAAACACATTTGCCTGTTGTGTCGTGTCGCGTCATAACCCCCACCACCGCTCTGGTGCAATCGGTGGCGAGAAGTCGGCGCCACGACAGAACGTGTTGCGACACGACACAACATGCAAATATGTTTCTAATCATATTAAATGTATGAAACCAATATGCTTCTGGCGCGTCACGACACGCCACGACACGTAAGTGTGTTTCCGACTTTAATTCAACAACTACGTTAGATAAAATTTTATTAGAAAATCCAAATTATTATTCCAAATTCAAAAAATGTATTTTAAATCTACAAATCTTTTGATTGTATTATTTTATTATTCCAAATTAAAAAAAAAAAATTTAAATGCAGAGTGTTAACTCTATATAAAGACGCTGAAGATACTGCGAATGTTCTGACTTGTGTTAATCGATTATATGCTAATTCGCAAGTTCCTAGGTAAAAATAGAATTAGCCAAAAAGGGAATGCGGCCTCCTCCCAGTACTCTAACAGGACTCACGTGTGCCGAGAATGGGCAACTGCTGATTGACAAACTTAAGAGCCTCGCTTGTCAGATCATTGAGGAAAAAGATTGTGGGGTCACAGTGCATGATGATGGACCGAGCCAGGTAAATTTTGATCAAGATATTGTAACAAATTAGTTTGATAAGATAAACCTTATTCACTGACAATTTAATCAAATTTTTTTTCTTTGGTGCAGGATTAGTCCTCACGTTGTGACTGTTAATACTATTTTTGTTATTTGATTGTTGTAAAGACATCTCATACTTTTTGATTGTATTTGTCTTTAAATGTTAAAATTAATATGCATGTCTCCTGTCAAATTAGTTTGAAACCAAAACGGAAAAGGAAACAAAAATTTTACTTTAGTTTAATGTGGTTAAACATGCCGGTGGTGACATCGGTCCCAATACCAATTTGCTCCACCAAACTTTGACGCATTATTGTATGATGACTATTATTGTAACCAATATAGAAAAATTATTGTAACTCGTAAATACGGAAAAGTTAAAAACAAATTGATAGGTGACTGTAAAATTAAAAATATATATTATATGAACCTCTGGTAATATAAAGTTAATTTTTAAAACTTAAATCTAATAACATATATTCATGGACTTAGCTGGCAATAACATCAATATACTATGAAGTTTATAACTACTTTATTCTTACATTAATAATTATTTCATTGCTGCCCCCGCGAACTTCGTTTCGCCTTAATATGATTTCTGTACAAAGCCCTCATTCTCTCCATAAAAATCTTCCTCAGAGTACAAGGAACAAAAAAATACTCCAATTGTTCCAGCCGGCTTCGAGTTTTGAGTTTAGCAACATATTTTGCGATTCATTTTTATTAATATAGATTTATAATTGAACCAGGTGCTGGACGGATATAATGAGGAGAATATGGTAGATGCATGCATAACACGCGCGGATGCAGTAGAGGCGTGTCGCTTGATGTGGTTTGTGGAGCCCATGGCCTGGATGCCAGATGTCACGCGGGCACCTTCTGGGAAGTTGCACTGCCCTAAGTGTAATAATAAGATCGGGAGCTTCAGCTGGCTTATGGGTAAGTAAAACGAAGAGCGCCACACACACTTACACGAAATACTCTTCATACACACACATACACAAAATACTCTACAAACTCAAACATACACGAAATACTTTACGTACTGTCAAGTACATGAGATACTCTCAACATACGTTATACGCCCTTTTCACATTAGTTCTTATTGAAGCTTGATCGTTCAGTGTCAATTATTATGTTTGTGCTAGTAAGAGATGGTAAGAAAGAATAAGAAAGGGATAGGCAGATGTCAGAATAGGAATTTTAAACGGAAAAATTAATTATTTTAATTTTTTTTCAGGATGTAAGTGTCCATGCGGACAAAAGGTGGCGCCAGCGTTTTACTTAGTCCCATCAAAGGTGGAATGGTCTAATATCGTGCAAAATGTTCAGGTCACACTATAAATTACAACTTAAAATCTAGTCAACGGAAAGATTGGTTATGTAGGCACCGCAAGCGTGCCGCAAGTATTAAGCGTGTCGTTGAACATAATAGATGCATATTTATTAAAAGATTCTAGTATAAAATTCGACCAATGTCCTATTATAATTTGTATATAGATATCTTAAATCCAGAGACAAGTTTGCCAAATTTTATCTCTGCGTGTCGAAAATAGCTTTCAATTTGGTTCAAGAATGTTATTTAAATAATGTATGTATGTTCGTCCGTTTATTTCTACCAACCAACAGAGCATATTGTATTGAAAACTTGATCAGCGCTCCGTAGATGTATTTGGAACTAAACCTAAGACCAAACACTAAAATATAAATTTTATGGAAAATCTATGCAATCGGGCAGTCAGAAACTGACAATATCTTATTGACATAGACGAATACCTGACGAAACTCGTAAAGCAGGGTCCACACTATGCCGCGGTAGGCCGGGAGGGTTGACCCGGGCGGGTACGTTCGGGCCGGCACGACGTCCACACTGAAAACGAAGCCAACCGGGCTATTTCTACCTACATTATTTAGTTTCAACACCAAGACTGGTGATTTAGTTGAAGAGTACTTAAAATGAACAATAAAAAACCGTACTTAAACAAACTGAATCGAAAATAAAATAATTCGTCTACTTCGGTCGGAGGTTTAATTGTAACTGAAGCCGCTCGGGGCGCTCGGCACGTCCCCATTCTATATTTTTGTTCGGCTCGGCTTCCTTTGATCTGTACCTACTTTATGCGGGTTGGGATCGGCACGGCCCGGGCCGGCATTTTCTAACCCGGCAAAGCCGCCCGGGGCGTCTACATCAACGCGGCTTAGGCCGCCCGGGTCAGCCCGCCCGGCCTACCCCGGCATAGTGTGGACCCTGCTTAATGTTCATACTTTCAATGACAACTTTGCGATAAATATGGGTACCTTTAGAAGAAACTATAGTTTTTCCAACGATTTATATATATCGATACACCGTTAGTTTGACATTTGTTTTTCCACATAGTCGTATGTGGTGTGGACGCATTTAGGTCTGTTGTGCGTAAAACAGATATGGTTTGAATTGTTTAGTTCCAAATGAGTCTGGAGTCTTTTGAATTTTAACATAAATTTATTGTATTCACACTTAATTATTAGTGTGTAGGTAAACACACTAGCAGTATAATCGGAGAGCCAGGAGAAATTGTCCAGTCTGTTTTAAAAGAATTCAAAGGCTGCAGTAATTACACATTCCGGAAGCCAATTTCATCAGCCACTACACACCACTCGGTTTGGGAATTTGTATTTTATATTCAGAGGATATAGTGTTTATTCTTCGGTGCAAAAGATCTGTTTTATTAGAATAATTAAATAATGAGAGCAACAGGCAGTCTTGGCGCTTTCGAGCGATCTCTTGGCCAAGAAAGGTAGAGTGCTGAGATTTCAAGGGTTCTTTCGGAAGAGCGTAGGCTAAAGCAATGATGTCAAGAGTTTTAGGATTGAAGATGGTGATATTACGTGTGAAGTAAGGTTGCTCTTCCTCCGACCCTATGGGAGGATCCTCGACCATTCTAACCAGTGACTAGCCCGAAGGCCCCAGTAAGGCCCAGGAGTTGTATATATCCTGAGGCGGAATAATTTCGTAGGTATTGCTACATAACTATTAAATTTGGGTTTTATTACTGCTTTTCGCGACCATGCCTTCGTTAAATGGTACTGAGTACATGCCTCTGGGTTATATGTATATAATTAGATGACTAGACCATAGATTATATATGATAACTTTTCCGGTTTAAAAGTAAAATAATTATAGATTGTTGTTGGATGTATTTATATTCTATATTGCACAGAAACTTTCGACAAAATATTTGTAGTGTTATGAATACGATCGTTACTCAAAATTTGTAGTATTAGACAGAGATAGCTTATATGAACACTTGTTTTAAAAGAAGTTGCAGAGAGTTTATTGTCAGTTTGTCTGTTCTATGCCCTTGATTTGTGATCTGGCTTGTTAATATAAATAAAGAAAAAAAATATGTTGATAAGAGTATAAAATACCTATAAATCATTGATATGTAACAAAAGCACTGTTCTGTCCCTTTAGAATTAGTATTTTAATTAAATTATTTTTTATGTATACAAGCGAATATCTCGGAAATGTTTCCGTAGACAAATTGTTTAAAAAACAAACGAAGTCTCGAGAAACAGTCAAACCATACATTTCGTTTTGCGAATGGTAAAAAATCAGAAACAAATTGGACATTTAGATGCAAATAATTTCTCATGGTATGTGATTCATTGTGTACAATAACTGTCTTTCCATCTATATTTGTTAATGTATTTTACAATGTTCAAATTTATTGTTAGAAATTGTAATTATTGAAATATATGACTGTGGTGAAATTTTTTCTTGTATCAAACCCCAAGCATATGACGAAAAAAGTCTAAATATCCTCTATATCTTACTACTATTAATTATTGATATTTTTTCTTACGCTAAGCCAAGTCTCTGGGCTTATCGTGTGACTCCCGTATGTCAAAGCATATTAGATTTTGAACATAGGTTAGGTACATGAGTCATAGGGGGCGCTAATCTCGACTGAAACTTTGCGCGAACTTTAAATCTATGGCCATTTGACTGGAAAGAGTCAATTTAAGCGACAAAAGAACAATGGTACAAACAAGATGAAATATATTTTTTAAAAACTAACATTTAAAATTGTACAATATAATATAAACAGATTTATTACTTTAGATATAGGAAAACCCTGAAAAGTTACGTTCGTTATCCCGCGAATAAAGTCTGTCCATTGTTTCTTTTATGACAGGATCTTCGAGCAAACACCATTAGTACATAATTATATCGCAAAAAAAAACCGTTTCCGTTTTACATTCAGGTCCCAACATACGAAACCAGACTAGCGCACTTTAAGATGTTGTCATTGGAGAATCGTAGAAAGTTAATGGTTATATCGTGTGCTATATGACATTTAAGAATCGGGTTGATTGATTGCCCCAACCTTTTAACTAAATTTAAATTTCGTGTACCCTCTTGTCCCTTCTTTCAGAAGAACGCGTGGCCAAAGATTATATTATTATATTGATATCCAGATTGAGTATTCTTGATAAAGTAGCTAGGCCCGGATATCCATACACACACACAAGTGTGTGTGTGTTATGTTTGTCTATAAGTCCTTGTATGTATCAGTGAATCGAGGGTTGGCAAGATTTTATTAATAAATAAAGCAACAAAGTGTTAAATTATTATTTAATACGTCGTCCCATCTTTCCGCATTCGTGGTATATCCTCCAATGCCAGTCCGTGGGCCCGTATAAGGTGAGTTTTTCGCTTCCAACTGTCAAGAAAGGCGCGCGAACACAACGCGCATTTGTATGGCAGTTCGCCTGTGTGCGTGCGGCTGTGTCGTTTCTGTAAAATTATATTTGTTAAAATAAAATTATTGTTTGAGGTCCGATTTGATTTTAATATTGATAAACAAATTATTTTTATAACAGAACAGAGTGAATTCCCAACTACTTTTTATAGAAGTTACTAGAGTAAACTATTAATAAGAAGAATAAGTAAAAAAAAGTTGATGTCAAAGATAAATAAGTAAAAAGATTTAATTTAGTATATTTTTTGGCTTTCGTGTTGCAGAAGATTTTGAGAGCATTAGTTTATACTAGGACAATAATAACAACGAAATATTAATACAATATCATTGTTATTTGATTGCAAAAGGCAAGAAGCACATACGCGTATCACGAATAAAAAAACTTACAAGTGCACTGGAGTCATAGAAAGCCTTGCCACAAGTACACACGTATGGACGCCGTTGGATGTGACGCAGTTCGTGGCTCCGGAGCGAATTAGGCGCTGCCGTGCGAAAGCCGCAAGTTCGACAGGCGTAGGGCTTCGCCCCCGTGTGTGTGTTTAGATGAGTCTGTAAGTTGCCCGCTGAAAAATGACAGACATTTCTGTTTGTTTCATTGATCAATCTGGGAAGGTTAATACAATTTCAAGTAATTATTACTTTGTCAGGCAACAAACTTCCCATCAATGGTCAATAGCAATTTAAGCAATTAATTTTTTTTTTTTTTTTTATAGAACGGGGGGCAAACGGGCCACCGCCGCCCATGGACACTCTCAATGCCAGAGGGCTCGCGAGTGCGTTGCCGGCCTTTTAAGAATTGGTACGATCTTTTCTTGAAGGACCCTAAGTCGAATTGGTTCGGAAATACTTCAGTGGGCAGCTGATTCCACATAGTGGTGGTGCGCGGCAAAAACTGCCTTGAAAAACGCTCAGTTGTGGAACGGCGGACGTCGAGGTGATACGGGTGGAATTTCGTATTCTGTCTCGACGTCCGATGATGAAACTCAGCTGCAGGTATTAATCCGAACAACTCCTCTGAACACTCTCCATGGTAAATGCGGTAGAAGATGCAGAGTGACCCCACATCTCTACGCAACGCCAAAGGATCAAGCCGCTCGGAGAGGGATTGGTCGTCGACGATTCGAACCGCTCTGCGTTGTATACGGTCAAGTGGAAGGAGCTGGTACTGGGGAGCCCCGCCCAGAGGTGAGAGCAGTACTCCATGTGGGGCCGAATTTGCGCTTTATATAGTTGCATGCGGTGGCCCGGAGTGAAGTACCGCCTCGCCTTGCTGAGCACACCAAGCTTTTTGGAGGCTAATTTAGCCTTTCCCTCCAAATGACCGCGAAACTGAACGTCGTTCGATATGTCAACGCCAAGTATTCCAATGCTGGCTGTGGCTTTAAGAAGAGTGTTTTCGAAAAGAGGAGTAGCGACAAAGGGTGATTTTTTAACGGAAAACGCGCAAACTTGTGTCTTCTTGGGGTTAAATTGGACTAGGTTTTGTCTGCCCCAGTCTGAGACTCCACGTAGTAGAGTTTCGACTTCAGACACAAGTTTGTTCCGGTACTCATCAACAACTGCCCGAGAAATACCTGCCCGGCCAGTGTAAAAAGTATCCCCAGTGCTGTCATCCGCATCGCAATGAATGTTGCTAAGTTGCGACATATCATTGATATGCAAAAGAAATAGGGTTGGGGATAGAACACAGCCTTGTGGGACCCCAGCGTTCACAGGTTTAAGGTCGGAACATGCTCCGTCGATGACGACCTTGATGCTCCGATCGGCCAGAAAGCTGGAGATCCAATCGCATAATTTCTCGGGAAGCCCATAGGCTGGAAGCTTCGAGAGCAGTGCTCTGTGCCACACCCGATCGAAGGCTTTCGCTATGTCTAAACTTACCGCCAGCGCCTCCCCCTTGGACTCAATTGCCTCTGCCCACCTATGGGTAAGGTATACAAGGAGGTCACCAGCTGAGCGACCACGACGAAAGCCGTACTGAGAATCGCTAATCAACTGGTGGCCCTCTAGATACCACAAGAGCTGGCAATTAATAATGGTTTCCATTATTTTGGAGAACAAGGAGGTTATAGCTATTGGGCGATAGTTGGACGGATCAGAGCGATCGCCTTTTTTAGGGATCGGATGTATCGAAGCGGTCTTCCAGCACTTCGGGACAGTGCCGAGCGAGTACAGGTACCGGAAAAGGCGCGTTAAGACCGGAGCCAACTCAGGAGCACAAGTACGCAGCACAATTGGGGGGATACCATCCGGCCCGCTCGACTTATGAATGTCCAAGGAAGATAGTGCTTTGCGGACAGCACGTTGCCGGAATGTGATTTCCGGCATCGAAGAATCACACCGCGAAATGGTCGGTGGTGATCTTCCTTGGTCATCCAAAGTCGAGTTGGACGCGAAGAGACAGCCCAAAAGGTCGGCCTTCTCCTTCGCAGTGTGGGCCTGAGAGTCATCCTCCCTGTGCAGTGGCGGAATGGCGGGCTGACAAAAATTCCCTTGGACAGCTTTGGCGAGAGACCAGAAGGCTCGAGTCCCTGAAGGGAGCTGGGCCAATCTCTCGCCAAATCTGGCAATGTGCTCTGACTTTGCCTTAGTGATTTCCCGTTTGAAGAACCTGGAGGCTGAGTTATATGCTGTTTTAAGTGGTATTGGCATCACGAGATTTCGCCGCTTCCGCCCATGCCTTAAAGCATTCTCGCTTTCGACGCGAGGCCGCCTTGCAAGAACGTTTAAACCAGGGCTGAGACTTGCCACCGATCGGCACCACAGAAAATGGAATAAAGAGTTCCATGCCCTGCAGAACCACTTCGGCGACAGAGGCGGCGACGGAATCTGGAGCTTCCGGCGAAAAGCACATAGGCCCCCAAGGGTTGCACCGCACCGAAAGACCGCATCCCGTCCCAATCTGCTGACTTATAGTGCCAAATACGGCGACAACCCATAAAGCGGGGCCGTGAAGGGCGCGTAGATGGCACAGTACTCCGGACCACACAATGATCCGATGAACCCAATGGCGGGTCAACAGAGACTTGATAGTTCTCCGGATGTGAAGTCAGCAGAAGGTCCAACAAAGAGGGTTTATGACCATCCACATCTGGTATTCGCGTAATCGCAGGGACCATTTGTGTCAGGTCGTAGGCTAAAGCAAAGTCGTGAAAGGATCTTCCCGCGTGATCGGTGGTTTCAGAGCCGAGCCAATCGGCATGGTGGGCGTTAAAATCGCCAAGTATCACGATTTCAGCGGTAGGAACCCTTTCGAGCAGGGAATCTGTAGCCATTTGGATGTGCTCAATGAGTCGGTCAGTTTCGGTATTTCCGCTATGGGACCTAGGTCCTGTATAACAGGCATGCGTAGAATCGCGGATGGTCATCGCAGTCAACGCGCAGCCAGAGGTTAGATAGGCCTTCCTTCAAGCGTCCCGAGGCGACGAGAACAGATATCCTCTCTGACGTACACGCAAACTCCCGCCTGCGGCACAAATGAATGTTCCAATTTGTACCCCGGGTAGGAGAGGTAGGAAGTATCAGCCGGGGAGGAATTGCCCCCTCCAGAATACGAAGGGCAGCCTGTGCGTCCACCACCGGGTGTTGAGGGTCCCGGTGTTGGACGCTCAGAGGGGGATTCTCCACCGCGTTTGCGTGTGGTACCCCCTGGGGTAGATTTTGTTTGTTCTGCACCTTCATATTTCATATGGGGGGGATGGGCTCCGGAGTCTCCCTCACCGTACGAAACGCGAGTACAATAAGGCGAACCTATTGCCTCACTTCACGCCGGTTTTCTAAGAGACAGTGGTACTGCCCCGGTCGTGCCTGCCCATTTGGCTGAAGCCCGAAGGCAACAGCATGGCACTCCCACTAGGAAGGGGTTGACTGATTGCGCTGATGAAATAACCTCTGTCACAGGTTATTTCACCAGTGGGCGATGGGGTCGTCACGTCCCGACGCCAAAAAAATATATAAATAATAATTACTAACAAGTGACGCGATTAGAAATTTCCCGTTTCAAAGTTGCTTGAAACCCTGCTCTTATTTAAATATATATTATTGTTAAAGTAACGCACTTTTTTAGAGTGAGACTAAGTGAGTTAAACGCCTTTTTGTTTTCCATAAGAAACAAACATAGTTAAAGTACAAATTTTACCTTTAATCATTTAAAGAAACTGGTGTTTTTTAGTGTACAAAGGCAAAGAACGTCGACTAGTTTTTATGTTATTTCCTAACAGGAAAATATGCAGCAACCTTGCTAATATTTTATATGAATGTTCTGGAAATACAGCATGTTCTCACATTATAACAAGAATTGTTTGTGAGATCTTTACCCTTGAACTGCTAGATTTGTTTAATTTTGTATTATGAAATCATAGATCACTTTTCTCTTAATACAATAAAGTCAAACTATAAACTCATACACCCAAAAAACAATAAAAACCTCACACATAATATTAAACCTATTTTTGTTTTAAGAAAACAATATTTAGTAAAGAGATAAAGAAAATGTTTATAATTGATGACTTACAGAGATTGCTGCTCCAACCACAGATAGAGCAAAGATATTGTTTTACAACATCATGTGTTTTTATATGGCTTAATAGTATTTTCTTCAATTTAAACCTGAAAACATTTTTCTAAATTGTCATTTTGTAAAGTATTATTTTTTTAGTTGACTATATTGTTTGTTTTGAAATGTACATATACATTTCTCCAATTGTATTAATTTCAACTATTAAAGTTAACTGCCATTTAAAAGGTTACTCCGATTATATTTAAAAAAATTAAAAAAAAACCAGTGGCGCTACAACCTCTTTAGGTCTTGGCCTCAGATTTCTGAATCTGTTTCATGATCATTTTTAAATCTAATAGGCAAGTAGGTGATCAGCCTTCAGTGCCTGACACACGCCGCCTACTTCTTGGGTCTAAGACATGTCGGTTTCCTAACAATGTTTTCCTTCACCGTTTGAGGAAATGTTAAATGCGCACATAGAAAGAAAGTCCATTGGTGCATTGGTGAAAAATAATTGAAATCATGAAATAAACCAATTGTTTTTAAACTATAAACTACTACAAATTACTATGGAATATTTTGACAATTCTGAGACAAAGAAAAGTTTGTGATATATTCAACATTTTTAAATAGGGATTATTGATCAATTTAATTTGTGTCTGCCATTTGTAAAATAAGGAATGGTATATTATATATACATACATACTTTTTAGGACATTTTTCACAAGCATAAGGTCTATCAAGAGAATGTGTCTTTAGATGTGATGTTAGATATCTTCGTCTTTTGTACTGTCTGCCACACATACTGCATGAGAATTTGCAGTCTTTAGTATGAACCTGTATATGCTGTGCTAATTTTGATTTTTTTATGAACTCTGTAATGTAAACAGTTCATTTTTATTTCTATGTTCCACACTACATATCATATTATATGCTAATTCTAATTATGGAGCATGTAGATTCTACATTTTATTCCTACAGACAACAGAAATGATTGTTATTTTGATTACATAACTTAATTTTATTCTTACTTTGATTACAAATGTCACATACAAATTCCTGGCCAGAACACTCATCCTCCATATGTTTTAATAACCAATACTTAAACATAAAACTCCTTTTACATGCGGGACAGCAATGTGGTTTATTTTCATCTATATTTACTTCTTTGGTTTCATTTAATATTGTTTCATCTTCTAAGATTATATCATTTCTTATTTCATTTAATTTTTCGAAATGATTTTCATTATTTAATTGACTAGAATTTGTAATAAGTGTATGTTGATTTATATTAGTTACACCTACACATAACTTGTAATTAGGTAAAGTTAATATCATAGGGATGTCTTTATGTTTGTTTGGTACAATGACACTTGTATTTCTCGAAGTGATGTTTTTGAGAGTTACATTTACATTTTGAGCCTTTTTTATGAATGTAAATGCTAACTCTATATCTTTTCTGCATTCATAACAGAAACGATTTGGTAAATTCGCATCATCTGTTATCTGAAAAGGATAGTAAATAATAAGTTGTGCTTGTTAACATAAAATTATAACTATTCTTCATGAGCAAAGCACCCAAGTTCATATTAAAAAACTAAAGGGTAAACATACCGAAATATTAGTACAATAACAAAACATTTCCACGAGTCTAGTGGATTTTTCCTCATCACAAGACACTTTTTGCATACATCCTCTGCACATATTAGTTACATCCATGGTACTAAGAGAAGTCCTTATTATTTTATGTTATTAATCGATCGAAATACTACACATTGTATTTCTAGAGTAGATTAAGCATAAAGCCTTAAATATTTCAACCGCAAAGTACATTATAAATAATCAAATTTAAATTTTTTTTAAAGCATATGATTTGTAAAACATAAACAAAGTTCTCTAATGGCTACACATTACACAAACACAACCAACAAACAAATGTCAAATCTGAAATCGGTCATTTATGATTAATTACCATATAAAAAAAAACAAAGAATAAAGAGTTACGGCGTCGTTCCATAACTAGGCACTAGAGGGCGTTGCTAGAAAAATACTCATTACTAACCTTTATTTTTATTTATCGTATCCGTGTAAGACTAACTATGAAAACGCTACGCTAGTTAAAGATTAGCATAAAGAAATTATTGGAGTATTGGGATAATCTTAAATTTAATTAATTATTCGTTTCCAGAAATCAAGATCAAAAGCGTAGCAGCTATTAAAACATTTTAATCATTCTTTCTTTTATTGGGAGGGGGGGGGGGGGGGGGGAGAAAAAAAAAAAAAAGAAAAAAAAAAAAAAAGGGGGGGGGGGGGCCCGGGGGGGGGAGGGGGGGGGGGGGGAGGGGGGGGGGGGGGGGGGGGGGGAAAAGAAAAAAAAAAAAAAAAAAAAAAAAAAAAAGGGGGGAGGGGGGGGGGGGGAAAAAAGAGAAAAAAAAAAAAAAAAATTAAAAAAAAAAAAAAAAAAAAAAAAGGAAGAAAAAAAAAAAAAAAAAAAAAAAATAATAAAAAAAAAAAAAAAAACCCCCCAACCCCCCACCATATTGTGGGGGGGGGGGGGGGGAAAAAAAAAAAAAAAAAAAAAAAAAAAAAAAAAAAAAAAAAAAAAAAAAAAAAAAAAAAAAAAAAAAAAAAAAAAAAAAAATATTTTTTTTTTTAAAAAAAAAAAAAAAAAAAAAAGAAAAATAAATCCTCTCCCCCCTTTTTGGGTTTTTTTAAAAAAAAAAAAAAATTTTTTTGCAAAAAAAAAAAAAATTATTTAAAAAAAAAAAAAAAAAAATTTCCCTCGCGCGTAAAAATAAGCACGCACCCTTTTTAATCAATTTATACTCACATTTATATTTTAATAACATATTTATTTATTGCTTACAGGATACTTTACTGCTTAACATACCTAATTCTTACTCTCAATAAACCAAAATTACTTATTTAATTGCCATGCTCAAATTATGAGTTAATGTGCAAATTACCAAATACCTATTTCACAATTTGCAATAATTACCGCGCCTATCCATCTCTCATTATGAGAATTTGCATGAAATAAGTGGGTCAATGTCATTGAAACGTTAAATAGAATTTTGTTTTTATTTAGAAATAGTTTTTGTATCCGTTAGCTGGTATCGAAGATCGTCCAAGCCAATCCCCGTCAAGGGTGAAGCTTCAAGTAGAATGGGGGCATTTCGCAGTTCTTTACTTAGTCTAGTAAATTGAAGCATTAAAAGCGCTTCATTGCGCATCTGTCTGTACGCTGCATCCATCTTGCTTAAAACTAAAATAAACTGAAAAAGATTAAAAAATACAACATTACAACAATGTTAATTTAGTACTACATCGTAACGATAATAAATATTATCGTTACGATGTAGTCTAAAATAAATGAAGGCTGTATGCTGAAGCCATAAAGAAACATTCATAAATTATTATAGAAGAAATTGGCAAATTGTTTTTGTTGTTTTGAGCTATATACATAGTTTCATAAGCAAACCTTCGCTCGCTGTAACTTTGGTTCAGCGAGAAGTGTGTACAACATCACGGCTGCTGCAGAGATTTGGCATAAGTTCGATGTATCCACAACAAATATTACCTGTGGTATGATACAGTTAATTAAAATATTTTTTGTTGGTTTTTATTGCTAAGAATTTATTGTTAGATATTTTTGAAGTTATAATTCTTTAGGCGCGTTATGAAAAATTGATGAGAGTGAAATTTTACGATGCGCGCGTACGTGACACAAATTACAGAATAATTCCCAGAAGATCTATTGACATAATTTAAAAACAACATTCGAATAATAATAGAATTTATGTTACACTTAATGTAAGAGAATAATAATATATATTTATTTATTTAATTTTTCAAATGTAAACTGAACTTTATTCCAGACTTTGATTATTTAATTGTAATTAATTATTTGCATGCAATCAAAAATTATTTTTAATAATGCCAAAGAAGTATAACTTTTATACATGTGACTTTTATATTGGGACTGGCTGCACACGAGAAGGCGGATCACATAGATTTGAACCACCGCCCACGCAACACCTAAACACTAGGAAGCTTAAAGTGCATTACGCTCTTCTCCTGAATATACCTGCAGAAATACAACAGTGACTTTTGAATACCCATTGATATCTATACTGTTTGTCTATCATATTAATTTAAATGATGTAGAATTTTAAACATAAGTAGAAATGCAGACAGAGTAGATTGTAGATACTTTAGTGAAAGGTATATATAAACATTTGTGTGGTGTCACACATTAGTAGGTACTAAAATGAACTCTAAGAATGTGGCCCACCTTTACAATTCCTTCAAGATAATTACTCCAAAGCTGTGACATTTCACCGCCTACTTCTCGTATGGTAACCACCTGTTTTTTTCCATGTCTATTGAAGTAATGCAGATCGTAAATATTTGTTCCAATCGTTGGTACTGGACTGTAGGTATAATCTATTCCTTCAGCGTCTTGTAATTTCTTTAATAAAGTTGTTTTTCCAGATCCTTTAGGTCCCACACAGAGAACGGGAATCTTATCTTCTAAATCGTCCATATTGCTTTGTTTATTCAATAGTATAGAAGCTATGGTAACAAATCAACGAGTAGGTCAACTATTCCACGACAGATGGCGCTGTACTTTACAAATGTCGTGTCGTGAATAATAAATAATAATATCTGTACGTGATACATAATTCGTGGTAGGTACCAGATGACATTGAGACAAGGCCTCAAACTTGTACACGAATCTCAATGAAACAGTGCCACTAAAATACCGATATCGCAGGAGTGGATTGCCCCACGGCTAAGTCACTTGTATTGTTGTAACTGTGACAAACTAAAATGATTTAGAACATATTCATATACTATATACATATATTGCTACTGTCAAAATTTATTATATATAATAACTTTCACATTATGAGAATTTCGTTTTCAAAAGTAGTTGTTTCTTCAAAATACCTTCAGAGATTTAAAATTAAGATAGAAAAATAATAAATGGAGAATAATTTTAAATTAAATATAATCTTAAAATGTTTCTTAGTATTTTCAAAGGAAATGTTGACTAATAGAAAGCTTTAGCTACCCACTATCGTGGGTTTTAAGACAGCAAGCTCATGTTTATGGAGTCAGACAACCCATTAAATAATTAAAAGTGAGTAATTATTGTACAGAAACAAACTGACCTTCAGACGTGAAAACTCAGGGTTTTCTTTGTGCCTTTGTGTCGAGATAACAGAATGCGCCATCTTTTGAGTCGAAATAACATTTTAGAACTAATGTTCTATGACGTTGATGACAACAAATCAAATGTGTTTAAAAAGGTTTCCTCGTAATGAAATGTATTACTAGTACTGCATACGGCCTAAAAGAGAATATGATTTGTAACCTATACGAGTTGCCTGTATTCATGAATTAAATTAGCATCTCGATTTTCGAGGCTATATTTTGAGTCGAGTTAAAAAAAAACATTCGATGTTAACGTTGCTTAGCAACTAAGAGCGCTTACATGAAAGGCGCAAATGATGCCGTGGGCAGCTCTAGCCAGCCAATAAAACGGTTGCCGTGATAAGAACCTTGCGTAGCATATGAGTTGGCATTCTCTGTCCGGCAAGTGTATGATACAGCCTTAAACTTGCTTTACGTAACATAGCCTAATGCTCTTTAAGATACGCTAGTGATGTCGCTCAGGCTACAAGCTATCGATGACTTATAATTAGAACTCGATAAGTGTAATTTATTATGTGATAAAATGTATAAAATAATATACCTAGACAAAAATACTTTATTTTAAATGTAAGTTTAATGAAACACGCTAGGAATTTACCAACAAGGTCACGCGTAACATAATTTTTCTGAATGTAAGTACATATATAAAAAATTATCAAATAGTATTAATCAATAACGATTTTACGGCAACGATAAGTAATATTTTCTTTGAAATACAATTGATATTTCATTAATCAATTTCGTTACACATTCTTTATTATACGTAATGAATTTTTAACCTAAAATCAGATAAAATATGTCTAATACTAAAATATGTACTAACAGTTATCTAAAAGCCGTCAGAGCTAGCCCCTCCCTACTCAATGAGGTTAGCAAGCCCGCGAATTTCGGCGCGCGGAGCTGTGTAACTAGGCCAGCGTGCCCTTGACACACTGACTCACTAGCAGCTATACAAGCGCCCGCCATTGTTTTTCAACAATCAATAAATAATACACCGGGCGATCTTACGTTTGCATATTTACGCAACTGCTACTCATCGCCGCCATCTTTGCGCACTTTGATTTACCGCCCTGTCAACTGTCAAGTCTGAATGCAACCTCCTTTTCCTATATCAAAACTGGAAAGCAACTTTTATGTCTTTAGACAAAACTTTGAAAAAAGATATGATAAAACATTTATCTAACTCTTCTCAGACAAAGTTGCGTGAAGTCAATAAAGTCACGCAAGGCCTACCTAATTTAGTTATCATTCTGACCTTCATGGACGACTTCGAGGGTTTTTTGTCGCCTTAATATATGTTTAATGTTTAAAAACATTTCTAATCCCTATTATTATTGTTCACAAATAATTGAGGGTTCGCTTGGCCTTGGCTTATAAATGAAAAACAATTTAAAAATAAAACAATGAAAATCCCTGACCTCCCTATTGTTTCATTTAGCGTTATATGATACATAAATGTAATTAAATTTAATCGTGCGATAATGTAAATATGGGTAATA